CGGCAACGAAGTCAATTGTCACTGATAGAGATTAACGCTTCACTAGGAAGTTTTGGTCAACAAATTTAAAGGAGCTGAGCACCAATTGACGTTGCAGTTGTCTATGTCAACTGCGGACCATCCGCAGACCGATGGTCAAACTTAGCGCATGAATCGCTTTGTCGAAGATGTTCTCCGCAGCGCCTGAGCTGAGACGCCGAGGCGCTGGAGCGCCATGCTGCCACTTGTAGTGTTCGCTATGAACAATGCAGTGCATTCGTCTACCGGCTACACGCTGTTTTACGTGAACTGGCCCGTTCATTCTCGCGTCTCACTGACGCAACCATCCCATGGCTCAGGGCTTGATGGGGGGAATAGCCGAACGGCTAGCCGATGTCAGCCCTCTTACCATCCGCAAAGAAGTCGATGACTTCCTGTATACCAGATTGAGTGTCCTAAGACACGTTTGCGGCTGAAAGCCAAGACATGCGGAAAGAATATACAGACGGAAGAAGCAGAAAAAATGTTGAAAACTTTTAGGTCAGAGACCTGGTTTTATTAAATGCTAAAACCTTCCTCCACTTTCAGTCTCTGCTGTCTTTAAGAAAAAGCTCCGTCCACGGAATATTGGACCTTTTAAGGTCGTGGCTAAGCGGGGCCTTGCGTTAACGCTGAACCCTCCGAGAAGGATGCGCACCCACCCGGTGGGTTCTGTTGACTTGCTTGATCAGGAATCCGGCGCAAGTGAACGCGGAAGCGTTGACGCCGGGGCGGCATCAAAAGGCGCTCGGACACCCAGAAAGTAAATCCGGTAACTGGTTTTGAGCTTGGAGTGCAACTCCGTTTCCAACGGCGCAAGTCTCTCCACCGTCCCACGAAGTGACGTATTCGTCTGCACGGCGCTAGGAGCCGCTCTGACAGAGCACGGTAGTTCTCAGCGTGAGGCAGTCAATGCACAAAGTACTCTAGGCTCTCGGAGCCTTCCGCTCAGCGGTGTGCGACCTCGGCAAGATGCATGGCGAAGTGCTGATGACGACGGACTTTGTCCTACAACGCTCGAAGAGCCGATCGACATGTCTTTATCGCACGCTGTCGACTCTTCACGATGATAATGGTGGCGTCCACCATCACGTGGAGCGTGTTGTGGGTCGACGTCGTCGACAGGCTCTAACCCAGTATCTTGTGAAGTGGCGGGGATACTCAAACTCGTGGAAGTTTGAGGTGCCACTTCGGCAAGACTGCCCAGACGTCGTGGGCGCTTATGATCAGAAGGTTCATGACGCTTTGCGTCATCGTGCGCTTTTTGGTAGTAGCCGGAAAGCCGGACGGCCATGAGCTGCGCTCAATCTATGGTCCTGAGCTGAGCTGCTGTGGCCATAGCCTCAACTGTGTGAAAACCCACAGAGCCCGCGGGAGTGTGATGGATGATTCCAAGTGTCGCAGGGCGACAATATGCAGGAAGACGGCGTTGCCCCTTCTGTTTGGCAAATTCAAATCGAAGATAGCGTTCTAAGCGCACGACGCCTTCTTTGTGGCTTCGCGGTAACGTAGACATCGCGCAAAGTTTTCGGTGCCGCAGCACCCACCGCTCAAAGAGCTCCTTATCATCTGCAGCGGTTTCGCCAGGGGTGAGCACGACAGGAATTGTCCGCCTTGCGGGTACGGGAGCACCTCCTCTTTAAGCTCGAAGTCGAGCGCGGTACCGATCCATTGGGATTTCTTAGAATACCAAAAGGCGAGCTTGGAGAGCTTTCTGCTGGTCAAGCTCAGCTTGTGTGATGACCGGGGGGGCGACTACGTAGACGCCTGACGATCGAGTGATCGCATCATTCGCTTCAGTAGCAAAATCCGACGAGCGGAAGCCGTATTCCACAGGCTCTAGGACCGAACGTGGATACGAGCGGAAGAGAGCCGCCTTGTGGGCAGCCTTAAAGTGCTGCTCCTGTGCCTAGTCGATGCTATTGGTAACAATACCACTTCCCCCGGAAGTCGAGAAGTCGAAGAACGGATACGGTGTCCGCAAAATTCGAGTGGGGCTTACGTTGTGCCGTCGGCGAATCTCGTCCTCCTCGTCTTCCCATGCTGGGAAAGGAGTATCCGACTCGTAGTCAGCATCCTCAAACTCCTCGGCGAAGAAATCCGTCGCCCGCGGTGTGTTGCGCTCGGTTGCCGAGGGCCGTGAAGCCGCGGACGTACTGTCCGGAGCTGCACCCTGTGCAGAAGAAGAAGGGCTTTGGCCGCGGGCGCCCTCGGAACCAGCTAGGCTGTGTGTTTTTGGTGTCATAGACACAGGGCTTATTGAGCGAAGAATATTCAAGTATGCATTTAAGAACGTAACGGTGTCTCAGACACGCGATCCTCGAAGGAGGCGACAGTTAAATGCAAATTGTGGGTTGATGGGGGAGACAGTAGCGGTGTTACACGTACTCTCGTATGAAAGGGCGGGTCACACAAGATGGTGTGACCGTAAGTGGGTGTGGATAACACAATTTGGTGTAATCACATAATGGTGTGGCGACACCGTAACAAGAAGCTACCACGCGGCAGGATTGCCAGAAGTAATGGATATTAATTAGGATTTACTATATTAATTTGATATCACTATTCAGATTAATACTCCTCCGCAACTTCAACAATTAGAAAGAATTTCAATTTTAACCGAAAGAACGCCTTTACCTCGATTAAGGTTTTAAGTACTTGGAGGAAGCGGATTGCGATCTACTGGTTATTGTAAAGAACGTAAGGTTGATGACCTTAAGTTAGCTTCCTCTTAGCAAAGAGCTACGGCAGCCCCTTGTGGGCTTCGTTCTAAAAAAAGTTGTAACGATGTAATGTGTACGTCCGCCATCTTACCCTGTCGCACGTATTGTCGAATATTGTCGAAGGACTTGTCCTACTTTTTCAGCTGTATACAGATTTACAATAGCTCATCATTTGTATTACAGTGTCATATGCATGTTATAGTCATACGTGCAGCACAGTATTGTAATGCGTAGAAATACAATGCTCGACTTTTCATATCTCTCATTGACTGATTCCAAATTTGCTAATGATCTATAGTTAAATTTACCTGACATTTCATATATCATCAATACCATGCATTACACGAATTGTGAACATTGATATGATGAAAAAAATTTGGTGATTGTCCTTTTGAATCACGCATGAAAAAAAGTTAGGTTGAAACCCCTGTATTTGTATCACAAGAGAAGGGGACCAATAATCATTAATTTTCTTACGATTAGAAATTGGTTGGCAGTCAAAACAAATATTGTTGCTCTTCATTAATTTATCCTCGAAGAGCTTGAATGAAGACTGGGCAAATTAAGGCCTAGTAGAAATACTGCATGTACAATGTTCAATGCTCCCCGAAGAATATTGAGACAAAGCCGAAAGAAATTAGTTTCTGCGATCCACACTAAACGATTTAATGCAAGACATTCGTTTTTTTGCAACGACAATATTCACAACAAACCTTCTCGCTGTTATCATTATTAAGTAATATGTCCTGTTTTGTTTAGTTTGAGCCAATCACATTGAACTCGTACGTTGAAGTGAAATCAGTTATATGGCCATGGATGAGCTGGAAGAGGTCATGCCTAATATGGCAGATATTTTGGCCGCTCAAGAAAGTGCACTAGCGTCAGTCTTTGGCGCATTGACCGCTCAGCTGCAACACTTAGCAACGTCAAACGAGCGGCAGGTGCAGCAAATAGCACAGCTCGAATCTGCGCAACTAAAAATGCGTCTAGCGATCAAGGAGCTGGAAAAGTCTCCGTCATCGGAGCCAGTGCCATCCCATATGTCGATACCAAAGACCACATTGAAAGAGTTGCAGCAAATGGTACAGCAACAAGTTACAATGCAAATGCAACGAATACTACCGACTCTGCAAAATTCTCAAACGAATGCGAGAGATGCTTTTGAATGGACACTGCTTGAGCAAAAGCTTTGCGATCTGGACAGTAAATTGATTGCTCGGATGAACAGGTTGCGCGATGATGCGACCAGTCATTCAATTGAGATGATAGAGAAGCTCGAGCAAGCAATCAATAACCATCTGGAGCAAAATAAACAGCAAGTTGATAAGTTGTCAAGAATGAAAATTGAAACGAATGAGCTCAAGCGGCGAGCAGATCGACAAGAGCAAAATATTGAAGATGTGCGAACAGGACTTGAGCTGCTGGCAAAATCGCTGGATAGTGACGATGCGGACTTGGTAAAGAGTGGAAAATCTGATGAGGTTGCAGGAGAGAGACAAAATGAAGACGAGATTTCAAATGACCCAGTCAAGACCACTTCGATGGTACAAGTTCGGCAGGTTGCTTATACAGAATTTGAAGAAGATCGATTGGATGAAAAACACGATGAGAAATTTACCGAAGTCGGTAAAGAGATCGAGGCACCAGCTGATGCATCATCGACAATTAGTTTCGAGCAGAGACGACAATCTTTCTCTCAATCATCAACGTACGAAGATACTTTATCACAACGCACGGAGATCACTATGGACCTCTTTCCCATAAAATCAATAGTTTCATTTGTGTCAGGACAAACTGTGGAGCAGCCAAATGAGAATCTTGGGTCACTTTCAACAGCTAGTGCATTTTTTCAGCAACTCGAACGAGAAAATAACGTCGCGGTTGCACCAACAACGTCTGTTTCTGCCAGTCATCTTTTCAATCCCAATTTAGTCATTGTTGAATCACCTACGACCGTATCTGCAAACCTCATTACAGCCTCCGAGACCGAGGGGGCTATGGCTGCCTCGGAACCTACCAGTGCCTCTTGTACGACTCCCATCCCATGTTCCGAGGCTACTACCGCACCAGCCGCAGCAGTACTAACTAAACTTCCCTCGACTCCCGTTCTACTTCGCGACTTCTTAACTGCAACAGCCGCGGTAACACTTGCTAGTCATCCCATGACCCCTGATTTACTTCTCGAGTCTGGCTCTGGACCAGCTGCAAAAGTACTTGCTAGCCGTCCCACGACTCCCATTCTACTTCCTGAGTCCGTCACTGCGCCAGCCAATGCAGTACTTTTTAGTCGTCCCACCACACTTCCCGTGTCCGTCAATAGACCAATCGCAGCAGTACCTGCTAGTCGTCCCACAACTCCTGTCACAATTTGTAACGACCAGGTCACACCATCAGTGTCAGTAACTGGACATGCTCTCACATCCATAAATGTCGTCAAAGTACACGATTTTAGCGCAGTAGAAAAGCTGATGGAGACAAAGCAAGAAGAAAATGGTTACAAAGGCGAAGAATTAGAAAAGTACAAGATTGTGCGTGAGAGAAAGTCATTGCAGCAGAATCGGACTCCTTTGGCTACACGTCAAGATGATGTAAACGATGAGGTGGAAGTATCCCGGCCACCATCAACAAAAAGCTTGACCCAAGTTGCGTCAATCAATCGTGCACGACAACGTCGCCCAAGTACCCTCAAAGTATCAAATGTCAAGTCTGAGGATCAATTAGCTATTATTGAAGGACCACTACCCCTTTCCATCCAAAGATCTATTAGCTCGCCCTCGTCGTGTACGCGTAATGACCCACGTCCGCCACTGACGAAGGCACAGATAAAAGAGCTGTGGCTGTTTCTGCTTGCTAAACTTGTACGTTTGAATCGGCTTCGTCAACTGAGTGGTAGTGTTGCAGAGGATACACTTTTCCGCCCTCAACAAACGTCTATGGGTTCTCGTGTCAAGCGACTGGAAGAAAGTTCAACCCGCTTCGACAAATCGCTTGATTATATGTCACGAATCGTTCAAGGCAACAGCTATACGATGAATGCACTGGAGGAAAGGTTGCCCGATCTACAAATTGTATTGAATATGGTACAATCGATGGAGCGATCTCAAATTTCGCACACACAAACTTTAGGGGATGTCGAGGAGAAATTGCAGGAACTGGATTTCGGCTTTCAGCGGCTGCGAATGTTGGAACGCCGCAGAAGCTCAGTCTCTTCGAAAGAGGTGACGAATGCAGTTTCCGCGCACCTTCAAGACGTCTCTGCAAGACTATCACATCAAATTTCTGCGTTTGAGGCTTCTGAGAAGATCTTAACTCAAGTGCGCGAGGCTGAACTTCCCGCTCTTCACGACAAAATTGATCTTTCGCTATACGCCATACGTCAAGAGGCAGATCTGAGGAGTAAAGAAGTTGCAGAGGAGCTTCGAAATTTGGTAGAGCAAGTCCAGACCTCGCAACGCGCTGCACATGGCACTCTCTTTACTCGCTTGAATGTGTTTTGCAATCGCATTTACCAGACTCTCCTTGGACTGAGTGGCGCAATGCTCCAATTCGCGAAACTTGTCGACATCGATCAAACATCAAAACTTTCCTCCCGCAGCACATTTGATGTGGGTATTGACTTGCTGAGCAACATTCTTACTCAACTTTTGGCAAGCTACCGGACTGTGTCTTTTGAAGATCCTGGATCGGATCTTGACGTTTTGGTTGAGTCATCTACATCTTTTCTGCAACAACTCGAAAAGCTTAAACGCGAAGCAGCGAATGCAAAAGTGACAGCACAAGCACGTGAAACAAGTGGCAAAAGTGACGCACGTGGTCTTAAGTTCGCACAAAGCTCAAGCTTTGACGACCATCTTGTCTTTATCACCACAGCCAAATTAAAAGATCTAGAGCGCACACTTGTGACTCAAGAAGATCAGAGGGAAAGTATTCAGACACCAGAGCTATTGTTTGTGATTCATGATGCGGTTGTTCAATTACGGTCAGTTCTTTATTTTCTACTGGTACACTCGCAGGGGATCAAGTCGTGCTCCCTAGTCGAAGAATTACGTTCTTCGCATGAAATAGTCCAACATGCAGTGAAAGAGCACGGTTTCACCTTAAAGCATCTTGACTCGACTGTTGCGATCGTCAAGATGATGAACGCGCGTCTTGATCGATTCATGGAGCTTTCATTTACTTACGCTAAGGAGGATGACGTCAAGAACTCGATACAAGAATTAATGACATCAAACAACGACATGCAAGATTTTCTATCATCAAGTCTTGAGGTGAATCGCAGCGAAACAATTGAACGGGACGGTCTCTTGGGCGAAGAGATGAATCAGCTCGTTGCTCGTGTGAATAAAAAGCTGGACAAGGACGAGCTGCTTTGGACGCAAGAAGTTTTGGAGCGACAACTACAAAACATTGCTAACACGTCGCTTGATGACAGCGATTTGGTCGATATTCACCGGAGACTAGGGCGCAAAATGGACAAGAGTCAACTAGAGGCAGTTTTGCAAGGTCACCGCGGCCAATTGAAGCTTGGATCCGCTCAATCGACGACGAAAAACGATAAAAATGGTCAACAATATGCTCCACTTGTAGCAGCCAAGTGCATTTCCTGTCAAGGTGAGCTGCCACCAACGATAGCCATGATAAAAAGTGTCGTTCGTGATCAAATTCACCAGGAATTTGCCAGATCGCGCACGCAGAACATGTCACCGTCTTCCCTACACACCTTTAACGTCTCCAATCATCGAAATCTGGGCGCTTTTAAGAAAGAGCTTCTTCTGGCTGCACTGCAACAGCAACGAAGCTCGAGTAAAAAAGAAAACGTTGAAAACAAGCATCCATTTTCAAATAAATAAACCTATTATTTGTCCACTCTCCGATATCGTGCACTTGTTAATTCATCAATTTAGCCACGCGCAGTTAAGATTATTAAAAGACTCCCACTGCCACGAGGATGGCTTGAAGAAGCTGTGACGCGATTTCTTTGACCAGGATCATGCTGTTCTCGTCTTGTGCCAGTGTATAGACAATAGGGTGGAGATTGTACTCCACAATAAACCGAGCTGGTGAAGTGTGTGACTCAAAGAGGCTCTTCAGCATCTTAAGAAGATTTTTGCGCACGATTGCCTTCGACATAAGTCGCAGTCGTGTCAAGATCTCAAGCACAAATATACCACTGCGACCAAGAGCCTGATTGAGTCGAACTGAACGATTCATTATTTCCAACAATGGCTCGAGCAAGTTCTCAAATTCCGTGTCAAGAGCATTGTGGAAGCAAATCATAATCTTCATCAAATTTGTGGGGGCAAGCAATACGTTTTCCATCTTCATAGTGTCATGAACAAGCCATACGCTGATGGACTTTATAGCGTCAATCTGCCAGTATCTATCTTCGAGCAGTGCCAGAAAGAGCGTCACACTGTCGTAAGTCCACAAATGAGCTCTAGCCGTTGGCGACGCATGAGCTAGATCACACAAGATCGGAAGTGCAAATTGCTTTAGTGGGCTTGCGTTCTTTACTACCTTAATAAGTGACGGAATGACGCCAGCTTGGGCTGCGTGGGTCTGTCGATTTCTATTGATTCGGCACAAGTAAAACATCGACTGTAGCACGATATTCTCGACATCTTTCCGCTTCATATCCGAGGTCAATGAGTCTGTTGTCTCTTGCTCGTTGAGTAAGCGAACAAGAGTTGGAATTGCTCCAGCTCGGTCTAATTTTTCCAAAGTCAAGGGCTCCATGCTAAGATTCCGAATGCACTTAAGTATTTTCAACATTGCGAACACAAACTGATCCGAGTGGCAATTTAGCGACAATGATCGATTGCGTTCTAACTTCTTTTCGATGCTTAAAAGCGGAGAAGCCGAATGAATAGCTTCTAAAAGTCGTTCTAGAACAGCCCCGTCGCACATATGCTCTTTAACCACAGCATCTCCCTGAGAAAACAGCACGAAGATATCGCACGTCTTGTGGAATTCCTCCACGGTCCATTGTGTCCTCGACTTACAAACAGTCGTCTCTGCTTTTTCTTTTACCGCATTGTCGTCGTGACTTGCCGCCAATGAGCTGACAATGACGGAGAACACGAGTACAAACTTTTTTAACAGCCCTGCCTTGACAAATAGGCGGCAAATGTCATTCTTTGGAATGGTTTGAATACTGAAAACGCAAGAGATTCCATCCAAAGCAATCCGGACAAGATCCACGTCTTGTTCGAGGCTGGAAAGTTGGTTGGTTAGTGTCAAGAAGTCCACTAAGACAGGTAATCCACCGCACGCAATAAACATTTGGAGGGTTAGCGAGCTCGTTTTGCAACATTGTCGCACGAATTTGGCCGCCTCCATTCGTACAGCACATGCAAATTTGATGTGTTCAGGGCTAACTTCTCGACCAAAATGCTCTGGTAAGTAAAATGGATTGTGCTGCTTCGTGAGCTTGATAATTACAGGTACAAGACCAACGAGAGCTAAATTTTCTTGAAACTTTTTGTTCCCTTCAACAATCTACACGACTGCGTTAGTAGCTGATTAAACAGATGATTCAGTCGGTATAAAGTAAAATACCCACTTTGTTTATAACTCTGAGTACGGCATGCAGGACATCCATCTTTTTCATTTCTAAGGCCTCCATAATGTTTGGTACCACACCACCTAGTGACATCAAATCACGTTTCAACGTCACGTTCTGATCGAACAATTTTTCCTTGAAATTTAGAAAGTAATGGTTAAGTGGGCAATAGTTCAAACAAAGAATAAAATAGCTTAGCGCACCAAATCATTACAAGCATCTAGAATGACTTGATCATCCATGCTTGGATTAAGCAAAGACAGCAGCTCTACCACTCGCCCAGTTGCCTTTTGAATCGTGTCACGAGCAGTCAGGTAATCAAAGTCAAGCTCGTCGTCAAAAATGATCTCGTGCACACTTTCGTTAGATGATGACTCCAGATTACGATCGCGAAAACCGCCAGTGTGTAGCACCATATTCACTTTTGAGCTTTCGGCGAGCTCAAGACCATCGTCTTCACCATTGATCTCCTTGGAGGCATAGAGCGACGGCTTCGCTGGCATCAATAAAGCATGACCTGGCTCCATGTTCAATGCGCTTTGTTGCTTCATAGCAGTTTGTAACAGAAGTGTTTCATCAATATCGTCGAAATCGACGTCTTCTTCTGAATCTTCAACAAATTTATGGAGCTGCACTAGGCGGTTTTGTGCGGAAAGTAACGACGAGCGATCCCAAGAACTCATTCTGCGCTCATCTGTCTGGCTCTGATGTAGACGTACATGACTGTTAGTTCTATCATCTATTTTCTCCGCTAAGACCGTGATGTTTGTCTCTTCATCGTCCCACACATCGTTGTCAAATAGCACTTTTGCGTCTTCCTTGGAAAGCTGAAACTTTCGTTCACGCTGACCGCTCTCGGCTAACCTTTTGCTATCTTTTGTATCATTATCATCTCTCAGCACGAAAGGCGAAGGATCGGAATCCACGCAAAACTCATTGTCCCAATCTTCCACATCCTCGTCGGATTGTTCAATTGTAGTACTACGAGAACGCGAGGTGTTTGCTAACACAGGCGTGTCTACCGTCGACGAATTCTTTTCATATAGTTTAATTGTATTTAAGACAGCGTCGCGCTCATTGGAAGACGTAACACTCACAGCCACAAACTGTGAGCTTTGTTCAACCTTATTCTTCGGAATTTGTGCTATCCACGGATGCACAAGCAGCTCTTCAGCCGATGCGCGCAACCTCGGTTCTTTCATGAAACATTTCATGATAAAATCATGCAAAACCTAAGATATTAGCAGACGAACATGTAGCAATAAAAACAAGCACATAAAAATTTCACATCACAACACAATTTTGCACCGGTGACATGCGCTGCGGAAGCGGTGGGTGATCTTCTTGCACGATACGAAACAGTGCAGACATAGGTGACAAATCAAAATACGGTGGCTTAGTTGTCAATAGCTCAATTATTGTGCATCCAACGCTCCAAATATCCGATGCCGAAGACCAACCAGCCATTTCAATCACTTCTGGTGCCACTATAACACAACAATTCGTGAAACACACACACTAGCACATAAATACACAGAAACTTACTCCAATAGGGCGACCCTACCACCGAATTTGCCTTCTGCGTCTCACTGAGCTTGATTGCTACGCCAAAATCCGCTAACTTGACCAAACCATCCTTAGTTGTCAATATATTTGCTCCCTTTACGTCTCGATGCAACACGCCTTGCTCGTGTAGATATGCCAGACCTCTAAGTACTTGCGTGATGTACATCGCTACAAGCGTCTCTGAAAGAGACCCAAATTTTTTCATAAATTGCGCTAATGACCCATTCTCCATATACTCAAGCACAATGTAAAGATAGCCCTGTGTCTTAATTGTATCGTGATACTTGACAATATTCTCGTGCTTGAGTTTACGAAGCAAACTGATCTCCGACTATAAACAGCATTACATTTTGTCATCGCATAGTCAAGATCTATATAATTTTTTAATTAATTTGTGTACCTCAATAGACAGCAATTCATCTTTGTCAATGTCCCGCAACGATACTTGTTTTATGGCTACTGAGCGCCCATTCCGCAAATCCAGTGCTCCGTAAACGACACCAAAACCTCCGCGTCCAATTTCGGCTCCCAGTTGCTATAGAGTTGTCACAAAAAATTAGAACACTCGAAAGGTACTAATAATAGAATAGAGTTCAAACACGTATGCCGTACATAATGGGTGCCCACAAGCCGCACTTGATCCTGCTCCGCCTTCTTCCCAATCTTAATTGATGCAAGACTACCACGTGAGCCACTTGGACGTGCGGACCCCTGACTGTTGCGCGTGGATGCATCATCACTTTGTCTACTTCCACTGGTGGCGGAAATGTCATCCGTTTGTACGACGTGAAGTTCGCTGCTACTCATAGGAATCGCATCATCAAATCGCACACATCTTATTTTCGATTGTACAGTTGAACCTGTCTAAATTAAACCTGTTTAATTGAAAACCCTCTTTAAATTGAACAAAAGATATGTACCCATGTTGCGCACCATACAGAAAAACCTGTTCAATGGAAAGCCCTCTCTAAATTAAACACTGTCCTCCAGTCCCAGCATGTTTGATTTAGACAGGTTTTACTGTAATAAATTTGGGCCTGCTAGAAAAGTAACAGATATAATATTAAATGTAGCAGTTTACATGGTAGAAAAATATTTTGGTCATCTGCAATTAAACTACTTGCTTAATCTGTCAATCATTGTGGCTACATTCATGCTAGATAACATATAGGCGATTTTTCGTCTGTTTCATCAGTAATTGCGCTCCCAGATATCGTTCTTCTATTAAATATTGGTATCAAAATTTGAGAAACTAACATAGTTTCTCCGTGCCGGCTCAAGTCCACCTCTTAAACGACTTCATTTGCAGTCAAAATGGACTGCTTCGTTCCGTACGAGGTCATCTTCGAGCATAGTGGCTTTTTTGAGCTAGATAGCGCGTGGTCGCCCAAGCGGATAGACGGAAAGACCTCGCGGCACAGCAGGCGTGTGGTGACGCACGAGAGTCGTGCAACGGAGGGCATCGCAATAACGCCAACTACTATCATAGCGGTGGCTACTACCATAAAAGTCCAAACATTAAACCAACTTCCACCAAGATACTGAGCTCGGAAGGTTGGCGATAGTAGCGCATGGATTGGCATTGAGAACGGAAAGATCACTACCATGGCACTAAGTACACCAACACCCACCTTGGCTGTGCTGAAGTACAATAGCACAGCAAGGGACGGTCGCGCCAAATATGATCCACCCTCACCATAATGCGGTATGCTGCCACACAATCGATACTCCACAGGCTCGACAAAGTTGTGCAGCTTTATATCGAGTTGCGCGAGAAGGGGTGCCATGTACAATAGCCCTTGAAACCCGACAACACCAAGACAGCAAAGAGTTAGTGATCCAAGCGAAAATGCCACGCTAAACAGAAGCACGATAAAGCCTGCGGACGCTAGCAAATTGTTCAGCACCAAAAATATTAGCACTCGTGCTGCTTGAGGTAAGCCTTTTTTGTTCAGCATGATGCTTAGCGTTCTCATATGTATAATGCTACAACTCGATTCTCAACACCTTGATTATGTACCGTTTCTCGGTCGCTGTAATACTTTGTCGCTGCGTCGTGCTTACATGTGCACGTATCCTAGATTTTTGGTATACATGTAAATTACACACAAATGAATTCAGCTAAAGAATTAAATCATTAAAAAGCTGGAAACTGCCTTATGTGCTTTCAATTCAATGAATACAGATACAAAGACAAGTGTTTGTACGATCTTGACACTTTCAAAACAAAAGGTTTTTAATGCATGTGACAAATGCTGTTTGGTTATATTTCAGATTGATTTTCTTGACAATATTATGCGTGGGCGTGCAGAAAAAAATGCATTCAGTGTCTTAGTTAGTGCTGATATATGAGTTGAAATAATATCTCGAGGTCAATATAAATACCTACCAAATGTGTGAACATTACGGAACTTACCCCGTTACACTCTCCCCGCAAAGAAGAGAGTGATGGGGTTGCCCTGGTTTGGATCTCACTAGGCTTCCATACTGCGCAAAAAGATTTTCCCCAGAATTAAACAGCATTCTTTGTATTTTACTGTGCTTGCTCTTCGAGCATATATGCACCGGGGGCCCGTCTCGTGCACTAGAATGAATGCCTTTAAAGATGCGCGGTCCTTTTGATTGTTGCGCTTACAAATTTCCCCGGTGGGGATGCCGAGGTGTTCTTCAACAAAAAAACGGTCGTAGTGACTCTTCAAGTCTCGATTCGACACTTTCGCCCTCACGCTTCGACACATTGCCTAGCCATTTTACAAATACGATGCGCTCACTGCGCTCGGAATTCCCACTGCTCAAATCTCGAGCTTCTTTTTCTTATTTCCATCGGTTTAAGGTAGTGGGACATCTGGCCGTCAAACCACGATGATATCGAGCTCTAGTGTAACGGGTTTACACGTACCCTGGTGACAGGGGTGTGTGTCTCACGAGATGCGCATGGTGTGACCAGGGGTCGGGAATAAATAGTTTGCT